ATGGTGCTATTGCAAACGTATAATTAGGTAGCGTAAAAACGGCACGAAAGCCGAGCGCGTGGTTTTGGTGAAATGGGGGTAATTCACATCTCTGTTCCTTTGCTCTTTCGATATAAAACACCAAATGCTGAACACTTTGAAAAAGTTCAGATTTTCTTCGTTACAACAGTGTAAGGTGTTTGTATATCCGGGTATCTAGAGTTGGAGAATTGCCATGGAAAGGGAAGCCCCTCGCGGTCGGAATGCGAGGTCGGCCGGTTCAAAATTAACACCCATGCTTTCGAATTCTTTGCAGACAGATTGATGATTTAATGCTGTTTTTCATTGGTGGAGAACTTGACAGCTTTGAGCGTGATTTCCATGGTTATTATTTTTTGTCCTTTGGCGTTTAGACAGAAAACCTTGGAAAAAAGCGTCTAAGTTTTCAAAGATCATTTTTAACACGAAATGTGTAAAATACCTGCTAAAAAAGAACCAAACGAAAGAACAGTTCTTTTTCTATTGGAACAAAGTCATTGGTTTGGACATGAATCCTTCCGCGAAACTCCGGGGAGCCCTCAGTATACTACAGTATTGAGTCCACTCGCTCGCTGCAGGGACCGGTGCGACGCGGCCGAGACAACGCTCGGTGTTTTGTTGAAATAACGACAGATCATCATCGTGTTTGAGGCAATAAAATACTGATTTGTAATTATCTCACAGTCATGAAAAAAAAATTAAGCTTCATTTCTTTGTTATACTGATTGTACTCTGCTTATGAAGAGATGTTTGGTGCACTTGGTACTCTTTTATTATCTGCCAATCATGGGGTTGCAGCCAGTTAGCGACTTCAGCAATATTTAATTAGTATGTTAAATTGAAACAACTGCCATTCTCTTAAACATTACCTGAGAGGTAAAAGTATGGTATCAAAATGTTCAGGAGACCTAGGCCCTTCATATGAAACAGATACATTTGACATACAGCAACTTTGAAAATTTAATATCTGGTATCTGATACCTAGTATAACGCTAAAATTTTGTTGCATTTGACGTGAAGTCCACTCTCGTGAAAACTTTGTTTTGTCCATAAGTTATGTTTCTCTGTAAAATGAATAGTTTTCTACGTGTGTGCGTTACCTTGTAGTGGCATAGCCAAGATAACTACGAAATTTCAAGTCTCTATCTCAATTCTAAGACCCCTGTTGCTAAGAAATCATGTTGCTCAACTTCAGAGTCCATTTTCTCCTTTGCGTGTTTCCTCCCCTCGCACAATTAAAAGTTCTGTATTTTCATAAAATATGGTCATATTTACTTCATTCGTGTTTTAAATTGTAGGACAAAGGAGGTTATTTTTTTAAAATAATGTTAACTCAGTTTTTAAATTTCCTTCATATGACTGATAGGACCGGCAGGGACACAAATGTGATATATTAACGTGTCAGATGATGCAGAATTTATTCAGCTTCAAATTAATATGTTGAATGAGCGGGTAATGTAAGCCTAAAACCCGATGATTGGGTGATTACATTTTCATGTTTCTTTTGGACGCCATTATTAAAATACAAATCTGTGTTTCTGATTTCTGTATGATGGTGTGAAATGTGTTGCAGCACTGCTTTTGGTGTCCTATTGACCTGACGTAGGCGTATGTGTCCGCGACGTCGAAGAGAAAATGAAACTTTGTTGAAAAGGAGGATCGTTTATTATAATAAATGTTTTACGCTCCAATCGATTCAATTTAGATAATTTAGAAGGTTTGCTGCTTTGACCCGGCTTGTCGTCAGGACCATCCTGGGCTGAATGGAGTATGGTGTCCCATCGGACAGACAGAAATGTTAACTTAAAGAGGGGGGAAAGAAAAAAAATTCCCTAGCGAGAATTGAACTCGAATCTTCTGCTTGTAATGCCGAATAGCCTACCTATCACACCACTGACGCTAAAACTGGGTCGTTTTGTTGAATAATTATATTAATGCTTGTGATACAGGTCCAGACGCTTGACTGAACAAAGTGGCCGGAAGAGAACGATGACTGGACCAGTGTCATAAAACGAACCGTAAAGCTTGTTCATCTCGTTTACACGGGATAAAAACTAATCACTCTGTTTAATCTTTCTGGGTCTTTTCATGCTGGTCTAATAGTTTAGCGACCAACAGAATCTAAAAGCCTATTCATAAAGGTCACTGCAATATGAAAGGTTCCTACGCGATTTCTTTGATGCAAGCCTAAAAAGGTTGTTTTTTTTAAATAATAGGGGATTTACAGCATAAACCTAAAACATTTTAAAAGTTGACTTATTTTCCTCAATACTACTCTTTTACGATTCAAGAGACGGGGTGAGTGTTTTTCGAGACTCACGTGGAGCACATGGAAACGTCTAGACAGCCGGGGGATGAGATCAACAAGCTTACACTAATGAAATGTGAGGGCAGGGCGGAGTCGCTGTCTCAAAATAGGTGATTTGTTGGCAAGGCT